AGCTGTAATGGCGCAGCTCTATTCTGGAAAAGGGGGCAGGGAGCAGCAGCTCATTTGCATTTAAAGAGACAGGCCTGAAAAACAGCGTGTTTCTGCTTCCACTCAAAATAGGCATTTTCAAAATGATATAATAAATGATCTGTGGAGTATTTTGAGCTGAAACTTCACAGAAACATTCTGGGGACACCAGAAACTTATATTACATATTGTAAAAAGGGGCATAATATGTCACCGTTAATTTTTTCCGGTATAGTAAGTCTATTTAACACTAGCATTCTAGAAATTGAATAATCAAAAAATAAAACACTGAATAATGTTCACTGTATGAATTAAATAGATTCAGCCAAGAGCAGTTTTCTCTGTTTCTTTTAAGATTAATGATGACAGACAGCAGCAAGTAAAATAGTGCTGTCACTTTAAGACCTAATGTACAGATCAGTACTGATAAACATTTCTTTACGTTCACTTTTTTTATTTTATACAACAGTTCAATAATCAAGAAGTTAATATTAAGAGAATTACGTTTTAGACACCACATTGCCTATTTTTTGCTCTATTTCGCCAACAAAAATGGTTCCAAACAAAGCCACAGCACTGTTTTGCGTCTCTGAAAAACATGACAGTGTTTCGTTCGTTAACTGTTTAAATGATTCGGTTCAATCGCAATGACTCACTTATTAACAGTGACTTGCTGCCACCTACTGGCGGTTTTAATTTCACATTTAAAGTACCTTTTTATATATTTTAAAAAATAATTTCAAATATCAGTATTCAACATTTTAAGATTAAAATAACAAAACATTATTTATACATTTGTAACTGCAGGTTAGAGCATTCATGCCTTGCATTAAACAGTGTGTATATGCATCTAAATGCCACTTCAGACGCAGCTTCTGTGTTTCCTCTGCATTGCATGAATTTTGTTGATAATGATTTTATTTGTTTGGTAACTGCCCCAAATGTCTTATTATTATAATTTACTTTATTGATTAAATATAAGACATACTTCTAGAAAAAAATGGCTTTACAAAGGCAAAAATACCCATAAAGGGTAAAAATAATTTTAAACTTGCTGGAAAAGATTAATTTCTGTCACTGCTGTGAACTGACCACCACACAGAGTCAGCTGTCCATGACAGTCCTAAAGCGCAACACACTCAGCAAAATATCGTCTGATTATCAATCATTATCGATAAAATCCCAGAAAATATAGAGATATCATTTTTTGTCAACATCGCACACCCCTAGGCTAGATATTTAATTATTCTTTGCTTAGTGATTGTTTGGTACACCTGATTCACTGATCATAGTAAAATCATCTTTTATCTTAGAATTAGGTTTTCTCAACGATAACAAGGACAAGACAAAAAAAATAATTGCATCATAAGTATGTATATAAAGTTTTATTTTATTTTATTTATGGTTAGGGGGACCCCTCAAGAGCTTTGACACAATTCGAACACTGGTTTTAGACCGTTGAAGCACATTATGCTGTGAACTGAACTGGGGATCGCATGCAGCCTGAGAGACCATTTTCTGCACACGCCTTTCTGCCTTATTGCCATAAATAACTCATTTAAGATCGAGCGCTGCTTAACTTCTTATTCCTGTGCATTCTTTATTGCTTTAAGAAGTCAAACATTCCAAGCAGTCTTGTACTGTGCAGCTGTATTAACATACTGAGAAAGCAAAATCACAATAAACATTTGATATAGTTATATTGGCCATCCACATTTTCTAGTGATGTTATGCCGGATACCAAGTCTTCGAAGCTTGCATCGAAAATATCTTGTACTTCCAGATGGAGCTCCGTATCGAGGCTTGTATTGTTTTAGTGAAGTGATGGGACGATTGATACCGAGGCTCCGACGCAGTTTTCAAAGCATTATTGTATCACACACTGTGCCGATGCTTGTATCGAAATGACAACACCGCGTGATTGATGACGTTTGGAGCTTCGAACCTCATGCAGTATCGGAAGATCGGGACAGCTGGTCTGAAAAAATCGGCGCTTCGCATGACTCTTGTGTTTGACTTTACATTGACTTGTGTGTGTGTGTGTAGCTACACTTATTTGGGATTCAGTAGAATAGTTTAGAATAATCTCAACACCAGACAGAAACTGAACGCACGTCACACCTCTATTGCATTTTATCATGTTCTAGCTGGGGTCTCAGAAACCCCGAACAGCTCACCCAAAATATTTTTGCTACTACTCACTTCAATTATTAATTATAATCACACACTTGTATATTTTATATTATTGATCAATATGTGAATCTGTTGACCGGACTGCGCATGACACGAGTTGGCACAGATTAAAAACTTTTTCAAACCATCCTCTGCTCCGCGATGTTTCGTTAGATAGGCTGGAGAAACCGAGTCTGACCACCAGATGTCGCTAATGCGCACGGTGTTAAAAGCTTCGAGTAATGAACCGTTTTCCGGCACAATTTCAAGACAGCCTCAAACGGTTCAGAAAGCCTCGATTTCCCATCACTAGTGACATTCAAAGCCTTTTTTGATTGAATTGCTGAATCAGTTTGAAGGCAGTTGAAAAACCTGATGGTGACAGGAAGGAACTTTTATATCTGTGCTGTGGTGCATCATGGGAGATGGGAGAAACCACATTTGGAGGATGATGGGGATTGTTTGTTGTTTGAAAATCAAAAAGTCTTACAGTGAAGAAATATGTTTACATGGCTGTGAAATAATAATTTTGTTGATTAAGTTAGGTACAAAATGCATGTATGACTCTTGTTAATTGGAATATTTAATTCCTGGCTGCTTGTCAATGGTTGTGCTCGTGGGTATAAATAGCCAGCATCTGAAGCTTGTCGGTCTGAGATGGAAGTTGGAGAGCTGAAGTGTTTTTACGATTAAGAAATCTTGTTTCATTTTTCCCTTGTTCTTTGTTTGTCTTTTTGTGCTTTAATATATTAGCATTTACAAAGGTAGCCAATAGAAAATTAATAGAGAGTTTGACTATCAATCGCTGCTGGAGGCGGGAAAACTGCCTCGGGAAAATAACTGCAGTTTCAGCATGTGCTTGTATATGTATGTGTATGTTTATATATATTTTTTTATGCTTGTGCTTCTTTAGTCTTCATCTCTGGTATTTATTTATTTTTGCTCTTTCTGGTTAGACTCGATGCTGCCATATTCTGAGTAAACTTGGTGCTTTTCATACACAAATTGTGATTCTGCGGTCTTTCGGATGCTTCATTATGACTGGAAATTGGTGAGTAACTTTCAAACATATCTCACACAAAGCTCGCACAGGCTTTATTCCGTAGATTTCTAGAATTAATGAGTTTAATTTGAGCTGCTCATTTTTTTTAGATTTTTTTTAGAATACCTTTAATATATTAATATTGCTTTGAGATCGTTATTGGGGAACTGAATTATTTTGTACTTTGAACTATTGGTAATTGCATATTAGCTTTATTTTGAACAGTGCTGATTCTGAATATTAAATTTGTGGATACAAGCCTAATACAGCATTTGAAAGCTTGTCATGCATTCAATTAATCTGTCCAAATTGTCAGGTGACTGAACAAAGATGGCAAATGTATTTTGATGCAAATTGAGTAATAGTTCCATTGCAGAAATTTTACTTTTTAAAAAAAAAAATTTTCTCTGTAAGTGTAGTTCTTATATTTTTATCCCATTACTGTGTGTGTGTGTTCTTTCTAATTGTGTTTGCATGAGTTGTTTACGGTTAAACCTTCCCAAAGGAGCTCTTTCCAATAGATCATCACAGTTTTCCATTTAAGTTCTCCTTGTATTTGACTATCTGCCACCCTTACAATATTTACTACATTGTGCAGGGGTGAATACGCTCTTTCTTGA